CACTGCTAAATTAGGGATGGCTAGCGCAGATAGCCCTCGTGTAGCTTTGCGCGAAATTCAAAAACAAACAAACAAACTTTATTCTGTTAATTATTAAAAGCAATGTAGATTCAAACAGCCAGTATAGTTTTTTTATCTAAAACTAACCGAAAGAAAATCCTTGGGCTTTGCAAGCTCTTAACTCTTCATTCTCTAGAATCATTACTTTTACTCTACCAGTTAGAAGAAGTCATTTTTATTGCTTATTATTGAGAGCTTAACTAAATAAACCTCTGACATTGTAAATTTTTAATTCTTTATTCCTGAAATTGTTGGTCAAGTTTACTTAATTCATAGATCTTGTTTCAGCATAACAAAATACAGACAACAAGGAACCACTTGGTCCTTCAAGACTATCCCTGCACACTTAGCCTTGAGAAAAACTAAAAACATACACCTAAAACCTTTATTTTTTTAAGAAATTATTGATTTCTCTTTTAAACTCTTGCAAATTTCTGGCCTCCACTACTTCTAATGATATTTCATTCCATAAATCAATCACCCTGTTAGAAAAACAAAATTGTCTTAAATGAAGCCTACCCTTTCTTTTTCAAATCTTAAACTTATGCATGTCTTTTCATCCTGTTATCTTCAGAATAAAGCACAAAAAAATCAGAGGCTTTTATCTTATCAATCCCCCATGTAACCTTGGAAACTTCAATAAGATCACCCTTTTCACTTCTTTTCTCAAGAGAAAATAACTTAAGAGATTAATTTTATTATCATGAGATAAATAACCCTCCTCTCCTGAATCCTCCTAGTAGCCTTTGTCTGAACCCCCTACTAAAATGTTAGTATTTGTTGTTAGTTCAAAAGACCAAATCTGTACATAGTATTTCAAGTGAGGCCTAATTGGTGAATTGTTTAAGAGATAATTACATCTTTTTATTTTTAATCAATATATCTGTAAATACATCCACATTCCTATTAACATTCCTACTAGAAAGAGAGCACTTCTTCAGTGGCTTGAGCTATCCATCCACTACTATGCCAAGTTTTTCCTTAGTCATCCTTGTTTTGGTTTCTAGCTGTATTAAACATGTGATTCAAATTATGATAACACAAATGAATTATCTTGCACTTTTTATGATTAAAGATCATATGCCAAATATTTATCTAGGTTACCAAATGATCTAAGTCATACTGTAATACAATAACATTCTCAAGAGGGAACACCCAAGGATTTAAATGTCATCTGCAAACAAATTTGTTGTTTGTATCCATTTCAATGTTATTAATGTAAATAAGAAAAAGCAAAGGCCCAAGCGCTGACCTCTGAAAATCTAAGTACACAAAGTCCACACCCTTTTCATCATCCAGATAATACATAACATCCCTCCCCAAAATAAAGGTTAACAGATTAGTATGGGAAGATTTATTTTCAGTCAAGAATTTAATTTTTTTCCCTCTATTAAAGATGTTGAAATCTGTATAAACTTTAGACATGATGCAAATTTATATTTTGGGGGTTATAAAATTCAAAAAAAGAAAATTTTGTGTAAGAAAGTCTTCCAAATGATGCATTTTCATTGCTTATTATGAATGATCTTCCTATTGGCTAAAAATGATGTCACTTTTACTTTTAACATATTAATTTCATATAATTATGTGAGCATTCTGTTTTTGTTTATTATATAGTTCCAGGTGTACCAATCTTTATTTGGTCACAAATTCATGATGATGAAGAAAATGTCATACTCAAGGTAACATGGTTGCCTGCACTTGATGACCACCTGGGTAGTCATTTCTTTGTTCAGTACAGACTAAAAGGTAAGTAACAGCTGTGCTGTACTTGGTTGCCTGCACTTGATGGTCACTTTGGTAGTTGTATCTTTGTTCAGAACAGACTAAGCAGTGTTCCATACTCAAGGTAACATGGTTGCCTGCACTTGGTGGCCACTTTGGTAGTCATTTATTTGTTCAGTAAAGACTAAAATGTAAGTAACAGGTGTACCATACTCAAGGTAACATGACTGCCTGCACTTGATGGTCACTTTGGTAGTTGTATCTTTGTTCAGAACAGACTAAAAGATAAGTAACAACTGTGTTATACTCAATATAACAATGGGTGCCTGCACTTGATGGTTGCCCTGATAGTCATTTAGTTTATAAAAACTTTTTATGGCACTGGTTTTTCTAATTAGTTATCAGACATCGTAGAAGAATAGGACAAACATATATATGTTATTAAGATTCATATGGAAACAATTTTAAAGTACATCTATATATTTTCAAGGCTTTATCATTACTTTTAGTGCACCAGTACATTTCATATTTAAAATCGGTGTTTTCATACCTTTGTCAGCTTTATTTTAAATTTTTGGTCAATTTAACTTTGTTATCTGGTAATAACTTTATTAACAAATTTTATTTTGTGAAATGCATGTGTGTGTCCAATAATTAATTGAAGCATTTGTAGTGATACTTATTCCACACAAAAGACTATAAAAATATTTGGTGCATTTGTTTTAGAATTTTAGCATTTTTTTTTGTCTTTAAAAGAAATTTAGTATGAGAATGAAATTATGAGCCTCTTTTTAACAAATATGTAGAACTTGTACACAAATTATGAATTTTTAATTTTCGTATCTTAAATTATCTTGCTTCATTTCTACAGTTCAAACAGTGTGTTAAAGTATTTAATGAATAAATATTAACTTCCAATCAGAGCAAGCTATCTATTTCGATCAAAAATAAAAAGCAACCTGGTAGTAAGTATAGCTAATTAAATATATTGTTCTTACACATTTAAATATAAATATTAGACTGTATTGTTTCACCAGTTAAATACCCTTGCTGTTAGCGATATTTTCACCCATAATCCCAAAAATATATCTCATGTTTTGATCAGCTTAGGAAACTTAGGCTAGCTATAAATCTGTATAATAAGTTAACAATGCAAAATAATCTCTACAATAAAAATATACTAATGAAAAATGCAAAAGTATAAAAATAGACATTTTAAATGTTTTATTTAACCAATACTATTAATGAAAATAACAGTAAAGAAAGAATAGAGTATAGCTAACTTACAAATCAGACAAACTCTAGTTATTAGTTCCATTGATAATGATTTATTCTTTGATTTATAGGAGATTCCACTTGGACAAACACTATTCCTGAATTAGAAAATGATTACACTATGCTTATGAACTTGGAAATGAATGCTGTCTATGAGTTGAGAGTTGTTTCTGTTGATGGCCCTTTTGAAACTCCAAGTCTTATAGCTGAGGTAAAAATTGGAAACCATGGTAAGTGACTCGATGTTTGTAGAATATTGTTTTTATATTCTAACATTTGCCTTTGTTAGGTCTATTTCTGCCTGTCAAGATTTGTGGTTTTGAACAATACATATAGCTCAAGTTTTTGACTTCAATAGTATAAATGTAAATTAGAAATTAAGTCATAGTCGTAATTTTGTTTGATGTCCTACTTGTCATTCATACATAACAGAATATAGTTAGATATATACAAACATTTATATTAAGGGGGAAAACCTGTACATACTTCTTTTGGAGTTAGGATAGTCTGTCAACTTTTCAATAATCCTTAACTTTTGTAATGAAAATTAATATTATCTTCTGATCAAAGTAAGCTACCTACATAGATCAGAACTAAAAATATATATCTAATGATGAGCATAACTAATTATAATGTTCAAACCATATCACTTATAAACCCTGTAATATCTCATGAGGTTTAGCCAGCTTGCTTCACTTGTTTAGGTTGATGTCCAATTATGAACTACGACACTGTAGTAAAAGTTATACTTGGCTCAGTCAGCTTAGTTGACTTAGGTTAGTTTTAAATCGATAAACTAATATAATAATGAGAAATAATTTGTATAATAAAAACAAATAATAATAAAACTGTTGGAATTAGTTATAATTAATAAAATAACCAATACTGTTAATGAAAGTAACCTCGTAGAAAGGATACGGTATAGCTAACTTACTATTGTTCAGGGATCCATTGTATGATTTTTCCTTACATAGTCAGATATGTGCTTTGCTTTATTTGTCATTGTTTAATTAATCAAAAATTGGCTTCAGTACCTAAAGTCTCTTTCAAAGTAATTTCACATAGATAAGATATGTCTGTGTCATAAGGGGCATTGATAGGTATATTGTTTTAATAATGGACTGGTAATGACATGTTGCTTTGATTATGAAATGATAAGGAAGGCTCACTTACTGACACAAGAATGATTAAACTGTGCAATTTCTGTCAAAAAGAAAAATTTATGTGAAAACAGTAACAACCATTTTGTGGGTCTTCATTACATTCAAATCATTTAACCTTAAAAGCAGTTTATTATTTTTGGGGATTTATATATAACATATGATATTCCATAGGACTTTAAGGCTAGCCATTACCTGCAGTTGTTAGCTAATATACATGCATGTCATATTTCAGCAACTAGATTAATTTCTCTGCATTTATTAATACTTACAGTAATAGCATATTTGTGTTTGTCAGGTAAGTGGTATTGTTCTATTATTTTTTAAACTTACACTTTGTTTTGAAAATATTAATTGATTACAGTATTCTGTTTAAGTGGCCCAGAACTTCTAATGATTGTATGAGTTAAAACAAACAAAAATACTCTTTATGAAATTATTTTTGTTGCATGCTTCTGAAGAGTTAGTATTTATTTTGTGTTGTTTTATTTGCCTTGCCTCAGTTCAGTAAAAAAAAAATTATTAACATGAGGTAATACAATATTATTATACAATGATTTAGTTACTAGTTTTTAGTACAATTTGAAATCCCAATACCATAAGCATTTTTACCTTTATATAAAGATTCTTACTAAGATTATGTTTTATTTATTGTTACTCCTAAAAATTCAGTATGCATCTTGTGTATCCACAAACTTTCCTTAGTGCATAGCATTTCTTTGCTATCCGCACTCCCCAAGATGTTGAAGTGTTTAAAAGTGCCATTTGTGTCATAGTCCTTACCACTTATAGTAATTAATGGTTAATCATCTCTTTGCTTTTGTCTCAGTTTTATTATCATATTTTTGGTTTTATCAACACTCAAAGACATTTTGTTAACTGAAAACCTGTGATTGTAACTGGAATATAATGAAGTGTAAATTTCTCTAAGTATTATTTCAGTTTTACTTCTTGTGTGTAAACTAAAACACTGGGTCATCTTGGAAACCTGATGGTAGTTCCAAAACTAAAAGAAACACAATCGTTATAATAAATGCTTTAAAAGCATAATTAATAATTAAAATGTTTTGTGATTAGTTTAAAAATCTTCTAAACCCTTACTTCTTAATGGTGATATAAATTGGTCAGTTAAAATGTTTTGTTTCTTATCATTATAGCTGCTCCTTTTGTTCAACCAGCTGAAGAATCAAGAATACCTCTTTGGCTTATAGCTCCAGTAGGTTGCATCGTTCTGTTGATTATTATTCTGGTCATTATTTATCTTGTCAGACAAAATGCAGGAGGAAAGTATCCAGTATATGAAAAGGAGGTGGCATTAGGCTCTGAAAACAATTGCCTTGATGAGGGAGGCTTTGATGAATACAATAAGCCGTAAGTAGAAGTTTTCTTTTGTGGTGTTTTTATAAGTAATATAACCTTTTTTTTTTTCCTAAGACCAGTGGCTCACAAAGTTTTTAGACAGTGCCCCATCCTCATGTCTCACTATGATAATTCACACACACACACAAAAACATACACTAGTAAAAATATATAATATATTGCTATCACTAACTATTAAAAGTTACAAACAAACTTACACATAAGTATACAGTAATGTCAATTTTATGTGACATACCTATTAATGAGAAAAATGCACCTGTTTATTGAAGCAATTTCCAGCTAGGGTTTGGTAAGTAACTTACAGTGATAGGTAGAAGATAGCTTCATCCAATAACATCCAAGATTAAAAAAAAGAGGGGAACACCAGTCTGACACATAGAGCCATCTGAAAGTTATAACATACTCGGAGGTACAAGCAGTAAAATTTGCTTTACTTCTTACATACAGCTAAAGATGTGTGGAGTAAATTATTATTTTTTTTTACTAAACTTCTCACATCCTTCCAGCACACATTCTTCACCTACCAGACTGAGAGCCACTGCCTAAGATTATGAATTGGAAAGTGTAATAACTGGGTTTCTGTAATTTGAAATTGCTCAAAATGTTTATAACTCTCATTCCAAGCAAATTACTGGAGATATGAAGATTTCTGTTTGTAATGAAAGCAAATGAACATGTAATATAGTCACCAGCTTACTGTTGTGAAATTTTGTAGTTATGTGTAACTTAGTCAGTTTTCTATTAAGTAATTCCAATCAATTTATAATGTACTTACTTTCTTACTGCTATGAAGACTTATACCAAAAATATTATCAATCTCTCATTGTTATAAAGACTTTATCCAAAAACAATATATAATTAATTTTTTATTATCATGCTTCTGTCCACAAACAATATACTCAGGTTCTTAATGTTATAAAAGACTCCTATCCAGGAATAATATATAATCACTTATTATCATTATCAAACTTCTACCTACAAATAATATACTCAGGTTCTTAATGTTATAGCCCCCCAGTAGCACAGCGGTATGTCTGCGGACTAACAACGCTAGAATCCGGGTTTCGATACCCGTGGTGGGCAGAGCACAGATAGCCCATTGTGTAGCTTTGTGCTTAACTTAAAAAACAAACAAACAAACTTAATGTTATAAAAGACTCCTATCCAGGAATAATATATAATCACTTATTATCATTATCAAACTTCTACCTACAAACAATATATTCATTTTATTACTGTGTTTTGAAGACCATAAAAAATTTACTCACTTTTCACTATTATCAAACTTCTACCTACAAACAATATATTGATTTTGTTAATGTTTTGAAGTCCACAAATAATATATTCACTTCATTATTGTTTGAAGACAACTATCAACAAATAATATATATTCATTTTTCATTGTTATAAAGCTTTTACCCAAACAGTATATTGACTTTATTAATACTAGAAATAAACGATCTTATAACACCAAAATGTTGTTTTTATTTAATTAAACACTCAACGTTTTGCTTTACAACTTCTTCAGGAGCATTCATTAAAACACAAACCAAAACTGACAGTACAAAGCTAAAAAAAAAAGAATATAAAGTCGTTTATTTCTAGTATTAATATGTTTTCTATACATCAATATGCACTGCAGAAATTAAATAATAATAATAATAAGTATATTGACTTTCTTATTGTTATGAAGACTTTTCTTTACAAACAGCATATTTTTGAAGTATTCCAAAGTATACTTGGGCAACAGGTTAGTGTTAAGTACTACAAAAATGAGTATTTCTAGATTTTCTAAGTGTAGCTTTATCATTAAATTTTATGAGCAGTGTAAGCTAATTGTCATCAATTAAACCTAAAACAAAAACAACTAATGAACGTAAAGATAAGGTTTACCTTTTTGACATAGGTATAGAACTTGTTAAATTATAATTGGTAGTCAGAGACACTTCTATACAACAGTTATTACCTAACACTTGCAAAATTAAATACCAGACTGTTAGCTATTTTTGAAAGAGGGCCATTGGCAGTAATGTATTTAATTATAATACAGTGTTAGATAACATAACCACTGAAAAGTTACACAACATTTTATTCTTTAAATAAGAATGTAATTCATTCCCTTACATTTATTCTTCCATTAATCGTGTGCTCACCAATACAATTGATATTGTAACTAATGAAGATTTATAATTATTAATGATTAAAGGTCCTAAATTCCGAGAATGTCCAAAAATTAATTGTAAACTCACCAAACAAGTAATTAATACATTGCTTAGTAAAGTTTTATGTAAATGGTGTAAAAAAAAAAGATAACTTAAAATAATCTTACTGAGAGACTTGGTAAATAAAGTTAAAATCATAATGAGTAAATGGATAACATATTAAATAAGTTCACTTTTAATGACAATGAACATGTTATGGGTTAAAAAGAAGTTATTGAGCATAAAGAATATATTATATAGTAGATATGCCATCACTCTAGTCATTAAATCAACTAATAACTTTGTATCCATTTGTATAAAGTTTCATACTACAACATTAAAACCTTCAGGTAATGAGGTGTATAAAAACATTAAAATTGATATAGAAATTACCATAGGTAAACATTTCGCAATTTTTGTGTACATTTTGTTAGATCTTACAAGATGATAACTAAATCATTTTGGTTTTCCAAATTACATAACACAGTGTAAATACAGGTTTATTGCAATTAATGATTTGTTAATTCTAAAAGATAGTGGTCAGGAATACATTAAAGAACATTTTAAAAATATATTAATCCATTTTTTATCATTAGCATTTCCACTGTAAAAATAAAATTCAAGACTTTCAAGCTATAACAATACAAACATTTGATTTCTTTACACTAGTTTTCCTATTGATAAAATTTAAAGAACTTTTAATCAGTAGTTGCGAGGTCTTTTAATAATTTTAGTAAATGACTACTCTGCATCAGTAAATATAGAACTTTCTACGACAATGTCACTCACAAAAATTACCATTTTCTCACTTTAAACTAATTCTTGCAGAGCATGTCTTTTAATAAATGCAGGAAATTTCAATGGGAGGTAATTTCAGCCTATAAGTTACAGATTTGTATTTATTTGGACTATAATTCTCATACATTACAAATCGTACTGAGAAAGAGTATAGTAAAGCTTTGTATATCAGTCATGCTTCTAGATATATCGGTGATATTCTTATACTGAATTATCAAGGTTTTATAGACACAGTTGAACTAATATATCTACCAGAACTTACTCTAAAGAAAAGCTTTTCTGCTAAAAACAAAACATAAATATTGTCTTGAATCCAAGAAAAAATGGTAAGAGAAATACATAGAAAATCAATTCATATGTTGAATACACTGCCCAAATTCACTTTAGAAGAAGATGAGCTATAGTTGCAAATATTTTGACATTACAGCCACAAATTAATCTTGTTCTATCAGTTCCAGTAATCACCATCTTCTAAATGGCAGTCGGGTGTCACTAGCAAGTAGCTTGGCCCCTCCAGTGAGTGAAACTGATAGCATGGCCGAGTATGGTGGAGAAGGAGATACAGGGAAGTTTACAGAGGATGGATCTTTCATTGGTCAGTATGGCAGAGTCAAAAGTCCAGAGGAAGAATCAAGATTATCAACTTCAGCTTCTCCTCTTGTGTGATACTTCCTTTTTGTCTCCATGAGTCTTCTCACATACTGTATTGCTGTTTTAAAGTGTTATCTTTGAATTGCCTACTAGCATATCACCACAACATGGAATGAAGAAATAATTATAGTGCAATGTTACTTTATGTTATTCAGGCTTCCAAGTGCCATTGTTGAGGTTTCCAAGTTCGAAAAACTAGTATAAATTTTTCTGTTTTTGTCATTTGTGCAACTAGAGAGCAAATTCATATCTATATAATTTATAAACAGTTGATAAACCTGACTATAAAAAAATCAGTGCTTACATAGATTAACAGCTAAGTAAGCTAAGTATTTATACTACATATAAAACATTAATTTTTTATTTTTGTATCCAATTTTTTGCATTGCACTAATTTTAAATTGTATATTATGAACTTGTGGTGTTTTGTATTTGTTTGTATGGTGTCACAGGGAATTGGATAAAAAACAAGTAATACTTCATATCCAAACATATTGTTCTTTAAATCATGGAAATAAATGTAATATTTTAAAAGATAACTTTTAATTGAAAAAAATTCCCTTGTTTTTAAAACGTTGCCACGAATAGTTCAGGGATGTTTAAATGTATTTGTACTTAAAGTATTCAGAAAGCAGGCAATCAAAAACTATTTCTTTTTGTTATTACACAATGTGTGGAGAGATGGTTTATTATAGAATCTATTTGTTGGTGAATGTTACTTTGAAAATGTTCAGACATGTTCACTTGGCTTATGAGAATTTATGGATTAAGTTAGATTTTAAGATTAGAAAGTACATTCATGGCAACTTAATAATATGTTTGAAAGAGCATATTAATTTACAAAATATCTAGACAAGTGAAAACGGAGAATATATTGGGTTCTAACAGGTTGCCTTTCAGACCTTCTGTGTGCATGCTTTGTTTTAAGTGTTGTAGTATGAGATATTGATTAACATGATGAAAGAAAATATACACAGCATCTTTCTCTAACTTTACATTTGATTTTTGTTTTCATAACAAAAACACACACACACACCTATTTTTATTTTGTAACTTTATTCTGGAACATCTGTCTCAACAAAGTGGTCATGGTATATATATATACACATACAGGTATCATTAAATCCAGAAAGCTGGCTGGTCCAGATTAAGAGTTATTTTAATGTTCACAATAATATTTCTATAATTTCATTGCTTTCTAGTACCTGTCTTATAAATTATTATTTTTTCACTATAAGGTAGTTATATATAGTACACCATGTAGTAAAACCTAACGAACTAAATATCTACATACTATAGTAGTATTTTTTATACATATGTCTAGCCCAAGCTTTTGCACTATGTATAAAGTTGTGTACTGCCTAATTTTTTTTCATACATCATTGTATAATTTTAAACAACTATGGGTTGGTACAGGAAGATTGAAATCATGAAGTTGATAAAACAAATCATTATGATCTCAAAATTGGTCAAGGTTCCTGAAAACCTCAACAGCAACCAAATCCACTGTTCACTCTCACTGAACTAGTTTTGATCACATTATGTCTGACAGAACTTAAGCAAGAATTCATGTGCACTGAAAGACAAAAGTACTTTATAAGTAACTAATAAAAAGTTAAAAGCTCTTCTTCAAGACAGTTTGTTTATAATGCAATTACTCAACCTCAGTACTTATTTTTCTTTTTTAAATGTATGATTTTACAGTAGATAAAGCAGAAAATTCAAAAGTTGTTTTAATGAAAAATGGTTTTTAATGTGTTACTAATTTCATACACGTATATAATATTCATGTACAGTTTACAACTACTGTATACTATTTTATTATCCAGTTCATATCTCAATCTTGATGACAGCTGGAAATAATTATGTTTTCTGGATTCATGTTTAAAATGTTGTAAAATTATACAAGAAAAGAAAATAGTACAGAGTTGTTACAGACATTTAATTCCAGAGATTACAGGAAAGAATCTTATGTCTACTGGGCTAGATAGCCAAATCTACTATTCATACACAAAAGCAGTGACAGTATTCTAAAAATGAATCAGTAAAAACCCAGAACATGTGTCTCTCATAGGATCTTAACTTATTTTAACTGTGTTTAAAGGCACAGTTACTAAATGTGGTCCCTATTAAATATTTGAATGGATATTTTTGTGGTGTATATCAAATGTTTTATACACAGAAAAGTTACTAGAAGTCTAGTATTAGCCAGAACATTTATGTCCTATGAGGTTTTATTTCATAAGTGGTAAAGGTGCAATTACAAATATAGTCCATGTTAAATAATTTGGTAGTTATTTTTATCACCTCTATGACATTTTTTAAGTTGTTTATACATTTCTTCATTTTTTTGCTCCAATTCATCAGTAATTATTTTATTTCAGAAAATTGTGTTCACTTTCTTGGCAAATTGGTGATGGATAAACAGTATATTGTTTTTTTATAGTAACATATTAAAGCACTTGTATAAAACTTTGTGTTATTGAAACATAAAATTAAACATTAAATATCATATGTAAATTTAGTTAATTTAAAAAAAAATTAAATAAAAATTATTATCTCTTATTAAAATCATTAGAAAATGAAGTCATAAGTAGTTGATATAAAGACATGGCCTTCAGGTGGCTGAGCAGTGAGTACGAGGGCTAATCACCTTAAAATCAGGTTCTGATACCTGCTGTTGGCACAACACAGATAGTCCATTGTATAGGTTTGTGTTTATCAACAAATAGACAAACAATCCTAGATATGTAACTGTCAACTTACTTCTTCCTTTGATTTTCTATGTAATTATCATGTGTTTATCAACAAACAATCCTAGATATGTAACTGTCAACTTACTTCTTCCTTTAATTTTCTATGTAATTATCACGTGTTTATCAACAAACAATCCTAGATATGTAACTGTCAACTTACTTCTTCCTTTAATTTTCTATGTAATTATTCAGTTAAGGTGAATCTTGCGAGTTTTCAACCCAATACACAGAGCTTGAAAAGCTCCTACTTTGTATAAGATGAAAGTATAAAAAGCTAGTACTGCACTGCCCATTTGTACAAGCAGTTTATAGTTTTATTATTAGTGTAACAAGCGGGCTTCATGCTAAACTACCTGTACCAGTAAAAAATTTTATTCAAATTGTTTCTTAGGAAACCTGAAATAATTTATTGATTTTTATATATCATTCTAATTCTATTATCATCTTGAATATCTTACAAAGTATATTTAGAATATTCAAACAGCTTTGTGTCATACGTTTGGATATCTTGTATAACAGCTTTTAGCAATTTAACAATGTCCATAAATTCACCTTACAAAAAATTTATTTAAACCCTTAAAAAGTATAGTTTTTAGTTTTTATTTATTTTGCAATTGGCTGTTTCAAAGTCTAACACTAATCAATAAAACTTGTTATATGGCTTGTTAAGTCATTTCTATACAGTTGACTGTATCCAAGTTTAGTATGTGTTAAACAAGTTAGTAAGATTTTAAAGGCATGTTAATATCTGTAATGTTAGTGATTTTTATCAATGGGTGTACTTGTAATTTTGATTTGCTTAAATTGTTCTTTCATAAAAAGTTCATTTTTTAGGTCATACCCAGACTTAAGATACATTTTTCATGGTTTGCATATGAAATTTTAATCAGACAAATCTGATCTATAAATCATCCATGATATTTTTACATTAAAAGTAATTACAATTCATTGAAAAGTTTACATATATGTGTAAAAATTGATATAAACCTTTTATTAAAACAAATGAATTTGGTTCTGCTCATAGTTAGAACTAATGTTTTTTTTGTTTTTCTTTAAATTTGTTTAATATTCTATGCATACAGTTTGAAGTTTTACAACAATAAAAAGACAAATATATTTTTGTATAGTTTTAGCATAAAACATTTTTTTTAATAAAAGTATTGCAATTTTTGACAGAATGTTTGACTTTTTTCTTTTTCTTTTACATCTTATATATTTGAACTTTACACTGCCCAAACAATAATAAACCTGTCACAAAATGTACATCATAATACTTGAAAAGGGAGAGTGTATTATACAGAACAGTTTGTATAAACTAAAGCCAAGTATATAAATATTCATCAACCTTGTCAGTGATTTTGAGGTACTCCAAATCACACTAATTTTCTTAATATGTTACAGTAACATTAACATTTCATGTTTGTCTCTCAAACCTTGGAACAATTCATTTTTCTGAAAAACAAGAAGAATTTGAATATGATTCAAACTTTTTACTTTTGTTAGGTGTAATGTGCGCAAGGAGTGGATTTTATTTGGGAACTCGGGACTGGAATGTACTTTTAAGGAAGCTAGTAATAATGATGTAGAGTATGTAGGATGGAGGAAAAGATAGAGGCAATCATGATTAAAGTAGATGCAATAGATAAGGAGAAATGTAGGTTGTGGGAAATAGCAGCAGGATTTCAGGAGGAGCTTAAGCTTTTACATGCAAGGGATACATCAGCTAACAATGACTTTAAGGAAGTTAGAAAGAGTACTGTTTGGGCTAAAAGTGGTGAATTTAGTTATAATGAGCCTATTCTGTTGAGCAACAAATTTCAGCCCTTGGCTTCTGCAGATGGGGAAGGAAACAAAGGG